CCGAAGAGCGTGTGCTGCCGTGCACACACACACACACGCGGCCCCAAACCCACCCTGCCGAGCAGCACAAACCCAGCTCCTGGGTCCTCTCCCACCCCAAATACACCAGGCAACGGCAGGGCAGGGAAATTCCCCGGTGTTCCCAGCTCGGTGAATCATGCACCGCATTTCAACCTCCTCTGCAAACCCTTCCAGGTCCACTGGGATGCTCCAACTCTCTAGATCCTTCTGCTCCTAATTCCAGTGTGGATTTATGCAGAACCAGTCCAGCCCCATGTCCAGTGTCCTCCAGAGCTTACATGAGCTCCTCTGCCTCGCCGTGCTCACCCCCTCGATGTATTTACACAGAGCAATCAGCTCCGCTCGCCGCCTGCCCTTTGCTAGACTAAACAAGCGCAGCTTCCGGCACAGCCTGGCTCATCCCAGAGCCCTCTGCCCGCATCCCCCTGCCCGGCACATCCCGCAGTCCCCGCTAATGAATAACGGTGCTAATTGGGTGGGCTGAGCGGGGATGGCAGGCGCTCCCCTCCGCCCTGCCTGCGCCTCGCTCTTTACCTGTTATTCAAAGGGTATTAAAACAAATTAACAAGCCCCGACTACATAAAAGGAAGCTGCTGGATTTACAACCCAGCCTGCAGCTAGACCACCTTGCCTGCCGAGCAGGTTTGGGCCAGGCCACGTGTGCCATGGGAATCCCACTGCGGATGGCACGGGGGGCTCCAGTGCCACCCGGGCTGGGGGCTGCCCACGCCGCACTGCAGATCCCAGCACGCTGCAAAATCCCGTGTTAAAGGCAGGATGGCACCCCTGGGGCAAATTCCGGGGGAATCCTCGCCGTTCTGTAGGGATGCAGCACCCGGAGCTGTGGCTGGGGGTTGGCCACACGTCCATGGCACAAACGCAGCCTGGACTCTGTCCTGGGGTAAACTCCTGCCCAGCACTGCTCTGTGGTTCACCTGTGACTGTTCCGTGCCAAATTCACTGGAGGGGCATCACAAATGTAAAGGAGAGGGGCAGAAGAGCAGTTTAAAGATAGACACAGAAGCCTGAGAGCAGGCAGGAAACCCATCTCGAGCGTGTTCCTTCCTTTGAGGCTGAAGCTGAATCCCACAATATGTTTTCTTCCCACTAATGCTTGCCTAGCTTCCTTTGGAAACAATTTAGTCTCTGCCCGTGGTAGAATGTTTTTATCCATTAAGAAACGGATATTTTAAAGAAACCATAAGTCAATCTGGACAGGGATTAGGAAGCAGCAATTCAGTGTATTTGCTGGGCCCATAATTCAGGACTTAACCTCAGAGCAGCCACGTTGCATTTCGGAAACAATAGGGGCACTTGCTGCCTATGCCAAGAGTCTTCTTAAAAGTAATGTAATACTTTAAAAATGTATATTTAAAAAGAAAAAGAGAAAGACTTTACTTTAAAGGCGTACGATGAAGCATTCTGCTGATGATAAAAATGTTGCGCTGACCTGAAGTAATGGATTGAGAATGAAGCTGAGCAAATTCCAGATCAGGAGATCTGGGGCTCTTCACCAATGAACACAGAGGCTCCCAAAAACCATTCAGCAGGCACTAGGGCTAGGAGAGGCTTGCAAAAAGATTTGACATTAATGTCCTCCCTGTGAAATCCCTGTTCTCGCTGTGAAAGGGAGTTTGGCTTCTCTGGAGCAAAAACAAGGGCGTGCAGGGGGGCATGAAGTGCATCAATCCAAACAGCTCGCTCTGGTACCGAGGAGATCCAATCTAAAATCCCTCTGCAATTGTCCTGGTGAGCACAAGGCTCCTCCATGCTGCTGGACAAAGCACACAATTGCTTTTGAGTGGTTGAAGATGTTTCCACCACAGACCTCAAGCGTGGGCGGTCCTGCTCTGCTGTGCTGGGAACAAAACTGCTCAGCCTGAGCTGCTGCTGAAACGCGGGCAAGGGAGGACCCAGAGATTTGGGGCTGCTGTGTCTCTCCCTAAACCAGAGGGCCCTGAGAAGCAGCTGAAGGCAGGCAGCAGAAGTCCCTTCAACATTTTGCTTCGCTTCTGAGAGCTACTTGATTTTTTTTTAAGCTGAAAGGCAAAACTCGACCGAAGCAGGCACGCAAGGCTCTGGCTTCGCGTGCCCCGTAATAAGGAACCATTTCAAGCCATCCTAATGACAGCTTGGTGTCTCACTGCGGGGATGGCAGAGCTGGGATTGCAAACACTCACATTTTCCAGACCTCTCTGAAGAAGCATTGGGCCAAATCCTCCACAGAGGCTCTGCTCAGTTGAAGCCAGGGAAGCAGAGCTGGATGGTGATGGGGGTTTGTCTGTCTGTCCTGCCCAGCACTGGGCCAGATTCCCATCACAGCCACAGGGGGTGAACCCAGAGTTACCCAATTCACCCCCAGAGCAGCACAAGTGGAATGAGATCTGCTGTGTGCAGGGTTGCCAGTGTGCATCCCATCTGGGGACAGGCATGGGAAGGGATCAAGTCTCTGCCCATCTGAGTGGGGCAAGGCAAGGCCAGAGGCACTGAAATACCCTGAACTGGAGAGAGAAGGATCCGACCTGCCCAGCCTCTCTCCTCCCGTGTTTCCTGGCATGCCCTTCAGAATCCATCGGCTTTCTCTTACCGGGAGGCTTTTGGTTTGAGACCATCTAACCTCAGGATGATCATTTTACATGGGGGCTATTTATAACCTCCAGGGGCTGCTTTACTGAAAGCCTCTGCGAGTGGCTGAGGGCCAGACCCTTCTCCCACTCCCAGCACTGTCCTTGCTGTGATCTCCACCACGGCCACGGCTTTCCCTCCTCAGGAGGAGAGACTGGACTGGGCCAGAGCAAAAACAAAATAACACCAATTCTCCCAAAGACAAACACGGTCTCTGACTGCCTAAAAACCCAAACTCCACGTGCCGTGTTCAGGGATGTGAGGTGCTGGGATCCCCCCACAGTGGCTGAGGCTGTTCCTGAGCATCCCAGCTCCCAGCCTGCTTTTGCCAGGAGCAGATTAGGAAGTTTGTGCAAACTGCTTTGTCAGCAGAACAGAGAGGCCAAGTACACCCAGCACACGAGAGGGAGCTGGGCACTGGTGGAGGGAAAAACCTCCCTGTCCCACTCTTAAATCCCTGCACAGGGATGCCAAAAACATCAACCTTAGGGGCACCCCATGAAAGATAACGGGGGTGGATGAACCTCAGCCTGCCCCATGGCCCCTCCCTGCTGGTATCTCATTCTGCTTCCCACTAATCGGCCTCTCCTGCTTGCTACCCAAGAACGTGCCAAGTTGTGAGAATTACAGGCCTGTTAACTCCTGTGTTATTCTTGGCACGGGCCGGGCTCCACTTGCTCGGGTAAAAATTATGATCTTTGTGAATAAGCCGTGTGTGTGCGAGAGAAAGAGGGGTTTTTAAAATGATGGTTATGATTGGTCATAGCCAGGGCTGAGATGAAAATTACTGAGCTGGTCCTGCTCTGAGTTCCTCTGCTAGGAACCCACAGTGATTTTAAGACGGTTCCTCCAGCTCGGGAACGAGGGAGCCAAGAGCAGAGCGTGCACAAACCGCCTTTTGCAGCATTCCTGGGACTTCGGATTCACTCCACAGGAATGATTTCAGAGGCTAATTTTGTGTGTCTCCACTCCTGCTGTCACTTGACATTTGGGAATTTGGCAGGGGCGGTAGCTTGTGGCCAGCTCCATTTTTTTTCTCGTTGAATTTGTGTCATCACCTGATTCTTCGCTCCAAACGACGCTCTTTGGGTTTCTGGCACTGCAGGGGGCTGTGCTAATTTAAAATACAAATCTTTTTTCTTCCCCCAAGAATCTCTTTCTTTATGATGCGGCCAATGGGACAAGCCTGGAAAACTCTTTCTCTCTCTCTTGCTTTTTTAAAAAAAACCCAAATGATAATCCTACACAAAACGCCCGTGTTCTTCTCATAAACCCTGCTAATATCAATGAAAATTCCAAGCGTGGAGATTTGCATTTCAATGAGAAATAAATTAAATTTTCTCTGTAATTTTGGGTTGGGAGGAGCGGCGCAGCTCTTACAGTTCAGGTAACATTTTCAAACATGTCTTTACACCCAAAACCCCCTCTTTGCCAAGGACACCGAGGCTTTCAAACAACCATATCCCTCCTGAAAACACAGCATGAGGGTTTTGGGAGCTTGTTCTATGAAACTTCCCCAGAAGGGCTACTTCTTACCAAAAATACAGACAGATTAAATGCTATTCCTTGAAGCCCTGTTAGTATCTCTGCTGATTTCTGAAGGAAAGGAACCAGTGAGACTAAAAGTGCACGGAAAAGCAGCACAGAAAAGGACAGAACGATCTCTAAATTCATCCTGGCAGCACCTGCCTGTGCAGAAGGATGGAAGCAGCACAGCAGCTGAGATATTTTTATATCTTTTGCTTCGTTTGGGACTGAAATCCCGGGATTAGCAGCCTGATCTCTCTCAGGTAACTGCAGTGGCAATTCCTGCCCCTGTCCTGGCAGCAAGCTGCGGATTCCTGGGGAACGCCCAGGGACTCGGGCGCTCTTTGCCGCTGGCAGATGTGGGGAGAGCAAAGTTCTGTGTGTGTGTGTGTGTGTGTGTGTGTGTGCCCGTGCAGGTGTGCATCTGTGTGAGGAATTATGCTGGAGCTGGGTGAGGGATCACCACACTTGGCAGCCACACAATGATAAGGAACTGTTGGGATTAGCATGGAAAGCACGGAACCCTCCCTGGCTGCTGCACAGCCACAGCCTGCCTTCATGGCAGGGGAGCTGCTGCCTTCAAAGGTGCTGCTCTCACCTCCATCACACTCCTGCTGCTCAGCTCAGCCTCAAACCCCAGATCTGATGGTGCAAAGAGTGACTTAATGGGTGCAAAAATCCACACAAACCCCTCCCTGGCACCTCAACCAGTGGGGAGCTGGGCTCCAACCCTGAAATCCCATCCAGAGGGTTGCTCCCACTCATGCTCCCAGCCATGCCAGGAACAGGAGGGTTCAGGGTGACACTGGGACCCCCAGGAGGTTTACCTTGGATTGGAGTTTGAGCCTGGGAGCCGAAGTGGCTCGGGGTGCTGAGGGATCCACGGGGGTTGGGAGTTGTCGGGGTGACTCTCATGGACTGGCGCAGCCGTTCCAGCTCTCCATAGCGGTCGGGGAAGGGCTTGGCTTGGTCTTCCAGCTTTTGTCTGTGCCCTGGAACATGATAAAAGAGTCTGGTATCTGATCAGCTCCCCTTTGGCTGCAGCAGCTCCCTTTGGTTACACAGGGAGCCAGCACACCTCTGTCTCTGTGGTTTGCTGTCACTTGCACATAATGGAGAATGGGTGCCAGCCCCGCAGAGAGCAGCTCCTGGGGCAGACGGACACAGAGTGACCCCCGGGGGAGGCTCCAGATCATCCAGAAAGTCTCCAGGAGCTGGATCAGGATGCCCCTGAGTGACCAGAGTGACCAGCCCCCACCAGGCCTCACTGACTCTAAACACAGAGGGGACACTCGTACAAGGCAGGAGAAACCATGTCCTGGCAAAGTGGGGACTGGGGAACCAGCAAACATTGAATTTTAAGTGTTTTCTACAGTTTTTGCTCATTGCAGGAAGAACAAACTCTCGTCTTACTCCAGCCCCCTCCCAGCTGTGCCCACCCAGCTCGGTCAGAGCCGAGTGGGGCTGGAGGAGGCACAGGAGGGATGGGATCAGCCCTCGCTGGTGCCACACCTCGGCCACCTCACTTTGCTTCTCTCTGTTCCTCTTTCCTCGCCTTAAAACGGGCAGACTAATCACCCACCTCCCCCAGGCAGGGCAGCAGCTAATGAGCCTTCATAAAGCACTCCCAGCTCCTTAGGTAGCAGCTGCTGGCACAGGGCAATAATTATTAAATTTATGCTAATTGTCCCGAGGCGAGAGGAGCATGAAACGCACTCGATACCTAACTTTCACATTTTACTGTATTAATCATCGCCGAACAGCTTCGCTCTCTCTGGACCGGATTCCATCTCAGTTACACCCGCACAAAGCTGGAGGGGCTCCAGAGGAGCCTCGATTTTCCATCAGTGCGGGGTTCTGCCCTTGCCTTCTCCTTGTTCTGGCCCTGCCCCAGCCGGGCTGCCCCTCAGCTCTCTGCACCTGCCACGGAGAGGGACCGTGCCCAGGTGGCACCGCCTGATCCCGGGCACAAATCCCAGCGCTCGGGGGCACGGGAGATGTGCGGGCACGCCGGCACAGAGGCTGGGAAGAAACCTTTCTGCAGCACTTCAGAGAGCTGGGCCTTATCAGATCCTGCAGCCCGACATCCACCGAGCCAAGCTCAGCTCTTGGTGGCTTTTAAAGAAGAAAAGGAAAGCAAAATAGTTTAAAAGGTGATAAACGCAAGCAGCTCTCGGCAGCGCTCCCCCCTGCTCTCCCCCCTCACATCTGCACAGCTCTGTGAGCGCCGTGTCAGTTCAGAGCAGTCACAGAAAGTCCCCACACTTCCCCCTCTTTAAATCCAACCTCTGCTGTCTGCTGATCTCCCCCTTGCTTGGCTCGGGCTGTGAAGTCGCTGCATGGCTGGGATGGGAGGGAAGCACATCGGCTCCAGAGGGGAATTCACACTCCCAGCTGAGCCCCAGGGGTGTCCCACCAGCAAACCCCTCCCAGCCGCAGGTTCTGAGGGGCTTTGAGCCCCCTCTGCTCTCTCCACATCCAGGCGAGCCCCACCATCCCCTCCAAGCTCTGTAAGTCCCAGACTTCCAGAGATGTGAGAGTCCAAAGCGAGGGAAAACATGCTGGCACCAGAGAGGAAAACTTGGGGAGGACGAACCCAGCAGAAAGCAAAAACCCGGTGGTATTTTGAAAATGTATTTTCCCTGCTGTGTGAAGCAAACCAAGGAAACCTCAAAGCAAGACCATAAAGGATCTCTTATCTCTGTGTGTCCCCAGACCTTAGGCACCTCTGCATTATCCAGAGCTGTGAGCAGAATCTGTCACATGGTGCTTTCTCCAGGGGAAAAGTGTGTGCACTGATGTGCCTTGCTTTAGCCCACATTTTATTATTTCACTATACATTTAAGCCCAGAAGAAGAAAAATAGGGTTATATTTCACCTTTGCCCAGCTTTTTTTGGGCAGAGCTTCGCAGGAAAGCCAAAAGCACTTCAAAGACCAAGCTCCCCAGAAATCTAATGAAAATTAAATTCCCTTCCTCTATCTCAGCACAAACCCTATCCTGTGGTGGTATCTGGCATGTGACGGGGAAAATCCTGAAGAAATATATCAAGTGATCTCTATGCTGATAATGTTTTTAAAGATTATTCAGCCGTGCAGCCCCACCAAGGGCTTCATGTGGCCGTGTCATGCTGCACTGTGGTTGCTCTGGTGCCTGCACTGTCTGAATGTGGGCACAGCCCCGTGGGCTTTGCCAGCCTGGAGCAAACACCTTCCTGAAGGGGCTGGTTTGTGGGGAGACCCAGCAATTCCCAGCAAAAACCCCCTTCAAACCCCTGAAAAGAAAGTGGAAAACTTGATGGGAATATAAACCAAGGCAAACGCAGGGGTGGGGGGGGTCAGGGCTCTTCCCAGCTCTCCCAGACCCTCTCCAGTCTGGATCCCACCTTGTCCCCATGTGTGGGACCTGGCAGCCCCAAACGCTGTGGAACAAGGCAGAGAACGAGTTAAAAACCACCAGCTTGGCCCGGCAGCCCTCTTTAGCTCAGGCTGTCTCCCCAGGACTTCCTGCCGCTTGTCACTTCGGGCTGGGGACGTCAGACTTTGTCACGCAAGAGAGAATCGCTGTTAATGGGTTTCTTTCATCAGAACAACCTGAGCTTTTTAATTTCTGCAGCGGTTGGCTTCATTAAAAGCCCTTCCCCATCTGCCCACAGCTGTCACAGAGAGGAAACCAGTGAACAATAGCTCATACCTTAGAGAACAGGAAGGTGGTTTCTACCTTCACCCAAGCCCTGACTCAAAGCCTCCCGAAGCCAGTGGGCGGAATTTTCACTCGACTTCAAACGGCCCCAGCCCTCATCCCAAGAAATCTGTCTGAGAAGCCTTAATCACCCCAATCAGAGAATTTTGGGGCACAAAAGGCACTGTTGGGGTTGGGGATTCTGCACTGCATTTCCAGCTGGGCCAGCACTGGCTTGCAGGTCAATATTTATGGAAACAGCAGAGCCCAGCACGATCAAATGGTGGCAGCTCCTGACCTTGGGCACTCCTTGTCAGGGTTTTAACGCTGGGTTGGGTTTCAGGATCGGTGAACTCCAGTATTGAACATGACATGATGTAAACATTGACAGATCACCTACAATCCTGATGTAATAACAAGATCTGTATCAGCATATCAAACAAACGATCCCATTGAACACTTCCCAGCTGGAAGAGCCGACGTGAATTTGACACTTTAGGCCAGTAATAAGAAGCATACTGGAAGTTTTGGGTGTTTCCTTGGAATGCAGACAGCGAAACAGTGTGTGCCACACGAGCCCAGGCCCTCAGAGCTATGATTTAAAGACATGCTTTCTGCATTAAAATATTTCAGAGACCAAACAGAGCCTGCTCTTCCTTCTAAGAGTGTGCAACCTGATGTGGCTTCCCAAGCTGGGACTGGGATGGGGTTTCCAGGCCGTGGAGGGGGAGTTCCAAAAAGCAGCTGATTTCCTCAGATTACTGAGATGCAGAGTATAAAGTCAATCAAAGGCAGAAAGGAGCTCCAGGAACTTCATGGCTGGAGTGACACCGAAATCCCCGAGCTGAGAGATTTGATTCAAAGCAACACTCGGGGGTGAGCGGGAGCCCCAGTTCCCTGATTTCTCTGCAGATGGAGTTGGATGAGAGCTGAGGAGCTGCACAGCCTCCCCCCAGCCCTGCTGGGCTCAGAGCTGGGTGTCAGCTCAGCCCCAGCCCCGTGCTGCCGGCACAGCAGATGTTGGGAAGTGGCCGGGCCCTCCCTGGGAGCCTGGCTGCGGAATGCTGGCGGCAAGCTGGAGCGGAGGAAACGCCGAGGGACGTTCCTGAGCACACACACACAAACACACACACACAAACACACGCTGCAGATCATTGCCTCAGCTCCAGACACGAGGAGATGAGAGCCAGCAGAGGGTGGCACGGGCTGGCACAGCAGCTTGAGCCACACTCAGCCCCCCTGGCATTCCACCATCCTCCAAATATTCCCAGCCTAAGTCCAGGGCTGAGCCAAGCTCACCAGCAGCAGTCCCTGCACACAAAGCCATGGCTCAGTCTCTACACGTCAGAGAGAAGGGACCACAAGAAAGGAATCAGCAGTGGATAAAACTCAATGTGCAAAACACCTTTCAAATCCCTCCTGTAGCCCTCGAAATAGGTACTTCAGAGAGACACGCCAGTCCTCTGCAGAGGCTGCAATTTTTTTTCCCAGTCTGAGTCTGGGCTAGACTATCAAGTCCCAGCATGTGCTCCAGAAAGAAGCCACATGTGAAACTCCTGTGTTATGGGAACAGCAGGGCTGTCCCTTGCAGCAGATCTGGGCTGGTTTCATCTTTGCACACCTCTAACACCAGGCAGGAACATCCCTCAGAACATTCCCTGCAATGCCACCTCCAGCTCTAGACCTGGCCAGCCAAGGAGAATTCATTGGAGCCCCTCTGCCGGGGAAGGAGCTGGAAGGGACTCAAAGTGACGCAGGATGACGGAGGTGCCCTCCGAGCCCCAACCCCGCCGCGAAAATCAGAGCCCAGGAGTTCACAGGAGGGAGCAGGAGGGAAACGCTGCTCCCGAACAAAGTCAGGCACAGATAACTCATTATTCACATGTTTGAAGTTGGCCTGCTTACGCCATTTGGAAGGAGAATCAGTCACGGCCGGGCTTTGCTTTGGTTTCCTCTGGCTTTCGTGAGACACTGCTGCTACTGTCTTTCTGCAGCTCGGGGAGAAAGGGGAGTGTGGCGCAATGCTCGCATGTCCTGGCACAGCGTTCACACCAACAACCGAAGGAAAATAATATTTAAAGGGGTGGGGGAGAGAATTAGGAAGGAGAAAAAGATGGGGGGGGGGGGGAAATGAAAAGAAAAGAAAAAAAGGCTGCTAATTTATAAAGCTTTTTTAGCTGGTGGTGGTCTGAGATGAATTGGCTGCCTCTAAAAGGATGAAAATAAATATCCCTCTTTTTGAAGGAAATAGGCTGGCTCCAGGCCAGCTGGCAGGAAGCACAGAGATATGTTGCATTTACAGTAGGTTTTTT